CAGAACCAGAACCTTCACCATCAGGGCAGCTCCCAGCTCCGCAAGCCCCTGCCTTGGTGCAGAACCAGAACCTTCACCATCAGGGCAGCTCCCAGGGGCCCACCCCCATCTGACAACTGCCCCTGCTCAGCACAGTGGCCTCCAGAGGGTGGCACACCCCCCAAAACCCTCCTCAAAACATGGTGTTAACAAACCATCTGCCTCCAAGTGAGACTTTCCTTATAGGTCTGTTTTTCTTTTTGGGGGGATGTAGGGACCATAGATTTCTAACTAGGTAACTTGGCTATAATAGTTCTGATCAATTTCTGAGAGGTTCTGGGGCTGGGGCCTGAGCCGCAAAAAAGGAGACGCTTTCAGCTCAACATAGGAGTCGACGTATACATTCAGTCTTCTCTCCCTCCCAAATGCCACTAGAGGCTCAAGTTCACTTGCACCAGAGATGTGGCAGGCAGGGTCCTCACACAGCCCCAGGACACCACCCCATCCAATCCCTTCCAGGGTGGACAGAACCGGTGCCTCACCTACGAACCTGCTGCTGCTGCTGCTGCTGCATGGCCAAGGGAAGTACTCCCTGTTGGCTCAACCTAATCAGGTGCATCCTTTAAAAGCCGTTTTCCCCAGCTGGTTGCAGAGAAAGAAGTCAAAGCAATGTGCGCCCGCAGGTGTGGAAGCAAGTGAGCAGCTGATGTGAACTGCCGATCAAGGGGGGCAGCCTCTCGGAGCTCAGGACAGTCCCCGGCCGACAGCCAGCCAGAAGTCAGGACTTCAGTCCTACTCCCTCAAGGCTCTGAATTCTGCCAACAAGCAGTGCCCTTGGAGGAGGACCCTGAGCCTCAGATGTGCACCGTGGCCCCATGACCCCTGATGTGAGTGAGTGAGACCTGAGCAAAGGACCAGCAACCCACATCTGAACTGCTGACCCTGGAAACACCGAGATTACGAGCACACTGTTCTGACCTGCTGGGTCTGTGACAGTTCGTTACACAGCAAGAAGAAAAACCTAATGAAACTGGCATGCAAAAATTTTGGAAAAGGGCAGGTGAGAAGCTGCATGAGAATGGGCTTTTCTCAGCTTTCCCGCTTTGCTAAGACCCAAGTGAGCAGAAGTAGGTGGAGGCCAGGTGATCAGATTCTTCCTACGGAATTCCGAAAGGCAAAAGAATTGGCCATCTGAGGGCCACGAGACCCTTGTGCAGCAGCTGGGCACACAGAGCGATGCCTCTGAAGTCTGGGGAAGGCAGCTACGCTCACCACTATACCACCAACGCTGCCTCTCAAGTCTGAGGGACGGTGACCGGCAATGATGGGAGTGGTAAAGACTTGTGCAAGTGCACGAGGCCCTGAGCCATCTACCTCTGCTCACCCCTTCTCAGGGGCTGCCGGCCATGGTCCCGACTCAGTAAGGGATCACAGTGAAGAAGGTGCAGAAGGTGCAGCCGAGCGCGCCAGCCTGGCCTGGCAGCGGGCCTGAAAACCCCGGGGTAGACGAGTGCACGGTCCCCAAGAGGAGCACGGCTCATGCTGCAGCCGAGATGGGGGTGCCTTGGGGCTGCACTGAGCAGGCCACTGTGACTCCCTGCAGAGCAGTGTGTGCATTTTTAAAGATTTATTTATTTGAGAGAGAGAGAGAGACCGCATGCACGTGTGTGCAAGCAGGAGGGGCAGAGGGAGGGAGAGGAAGAGAGAGAGAGAGAGAAAAAATCTCAGACTCCCCGCTAAGTGTGGAGCCTGCCATGGGCCTCAATCTCAGGACCCTGAGATCATGACCTGAGGCAAAATCAAGAGTCGGACACTCAACTGACTTGAGCCACCCAGGTGCCCCTTAAGGAGATAATACTTGGAGTTGTAAACTCAACAAACCACAATCAATTTTCAAGGATAAATATTAGGGCAAGAAAAGCAACAAGTAGAAAGCTGCCCTGGGAAGGGCCAGGTCTGCAGGGATACAGGAAATGCCCTTTCAGGAGACTCCCTTCTTTAGTTCTGACTACCCTTCCCACCTGCTAAGGAGAGTCAGCCACCTTTTATGTTTCAAAGGCCGGGGCTGAAGAGACAAAGGTTACTCTGTGAAGCTGACAGGCCAGCCGACCAGGGCCTCAGCACCCTCCCTTCCTGTACCACCTCCCCACCTGCAGGCCCTGCACCTGCGTCGCCCTTCCTCCTGGACACTCTGTGCCACATGTCCCTTTATAGCAGCACTCTGTGCTTCACATCACGGCTCAGATGGGCCTCTCTGGAAGCTTCTCCTCACCACCCCAGGTCCACAGAACCCCTCTTCTGGAGAGGCCCCTGCACACCCACTCTTGCCGTGTTATTACCCCCGTCATAACTGCTTCTTTATGCCACTGTCTTTGCTAAGTGGTGAGCTCAGGAACAGCAGGAAGCCCAGCTTCTGCACTCCCTCCAGGCGCCACCCAGACTCTCTGGCATCCAGCAGGCCCTCAAATCTTTGCTCGAGGGATGAACCAACGTCTTCTGCAGGCAAGCCCAAGGCCCCATCTCAACAGTGGCAGACAAGCAGAACTATATCCATGACCTGCAAACTCAGCACAGAATTTCATTTCCCTGTGTATAGGGTTCAAAATCTGAGGACGAGTATGTCATCAATACACACAGAGTTGCAAACTCGAGTCTGCTCATGCTATTGTAGTCCTGTTCCTTCACGAACACTGTTACCTTTCTGTAACATTCTAACACTGGTAACCACAAGAGCCTGAGAGATTGTGATGCACAGACCATGGTATATGCTTTAGGACCATGCCTCTCCTGACTTGAGGACTATGCCAGAAGGAAAGCAGCTGTGAGCCAAACTTCCAAAGTCCAGCAGCCTATCAGCAGAGGGCCAACCAAGTGTGCCCTCCCTCTGTGGAAGGTGACCGCAGCTGGAATCCGACAGGATGGCCCAGCCTGGGGACCTTGGAGGCCATGCAGCAGCCAGGGCAGCTATAGAAGGGACAGGGAAGGAGGTGCCGCGCGCCCAACCAGAGTCCCTTACAGCAACACTTCCTGCGCAGAAGTTCAAGGGCACAGATGTCAACCAGCATAAATGTGTTGGGAATTCCTTAATAAAGTCACCTCCTGCACTTGCCAGTTCTCTCCGGGGCTCTGGTCAGAAGAATGAGAGGAAGCCATGAAGGGCTCCACCGACCTGGCCTGTTCAGAGTCCCGGCCAGGTGACCTCGGGCCACAGCAAACTGTGGCTCATGCTAAACCTGCCCTGTACTTGGGGTGGGTGGGTGTGCGCGCTCGCACCTGAGAAGCACGAGTCACCAAGAGCCCTCTACTCACTATGCCAGAAAATCCACTCTGCCGTGCTCACCCTGGGAAGACCCCAGTTCATGCCGCTCCACATTCTTAGACATTCTACTCTTTAATGAAGTTGTGTTGTCAAACTGGACTCTGAAACAAAGGCAAGCCACTGCCCCAACGGAAGGTGCAGCCCGGAGGCAGGGGAGCCTCTCCCCAAGTCCTCACAGCCCTAAGCTGGCCACTGTGCTTGAGGCATCAACTCCACCGACAACGTTTTATAAACAGCGGTCCCTGTCGCAGCGAGAGCAAAGAGCAGGAGGCCACTCAAGCAGCTGCATTCTCACCGGACTGGTCCTCGAGGTCCCCGTCCTCGCTGTCGGTGCCGGAGCTGCGCTCACTGCCCAGGTCGTCCTCAGAGCCCCCGCTGGTACCGTCGCTGCTTTCTTCTGAAGCAAAAGAGGTGGAGACACAGGCCCCGAGAAAGTGTCACAACCAAGGCAGCCAAGAGCGAGGGCCGCCTCACAGAGGCACAGATGTGCTCAGAAGCACCTGCCGAAGGGACTATAAGCGGCTGCCCAGATGGGGACAGCGAAGTCGGGCTGGGGCGACAGAAGTAGGGAAAGCATACCCTTTCACTCTAGGTACACCTGTACTACTCAGCTGAACAGTAAGATAAACGCACATACTGCTTGTACAACTAAAAGCAAAGAATAACTTTTTTAAAAAGATGAAAAGCTGAATATCGACACACGCAGAAAACCCTCAAAAGGGGACTCGGGGGGGCGCCTGGGTGGCTCAGTTGGTTAGGTGACTGCCTTCGGCTCAGGTCATGATCCTGGAGTCCCGGGATCGAGTCCCACATCGGGCTCCCTGCTCGGCGGGGAGTCTGCTTCTCCCTCTGACCCTCTTCCCTCTCGTGCTCTCTATCTCTCATTCTCTCTCTCTCAAATAAATAAATAAAATCTTTAAACAAAAAAAAAGGGGGGGGGGACTCGGCACATGAGGTGGCCCTGCTGCCTCTGAGAGGTGCAAGCCGCAAACACCTGCCACCCCACCTCTGGGTGGAAGGGGTAGGAGGCTGGCTCACCAGCACTGCTGGCCAGGGCAGTCGGGCTGAGTCGTGGGTGTCCATCTGGCCCTGGGCTTCGGTCCACAGGCTCGTCCAGGCTGTCGTCATCCATCACTGGACATTGGTAACCAGCTCTGAAATAAACCAGAGTCAAGAAGTTCTCAACTGTCCCAGGATGCAATGCTCCCCTCCCGAAAGCACAGGAGTCACTCTCCACACAGCACGACCTGGTGACATGTCCATCCGTAGGACAGGGAGGCCAAGCCACAAGACAGAACACAAAGCAACTCGAACCGCAAAGCTGTGCATACATAGGAGAAAAGACTGATTCCCATCTACAGAGCGACATTCAAAGTCAAATCTCAACTTATAATTAACGTAATTTAGCTTCATTCTGGCGACGTTTCGTTCAATCAGGCACCTACAACACCTTGACACTCCTGAGGAATCCTGACACCAAGCACGAATGAAATGGCTTATCACAAGCTGGGGCAAAGCGGGGATTTCCACGTAGAGGGGCAGGAGGTGCCAGAGGGGCCTAGATGACTAACAGGACCCTCTCCCTGCACTCTCCTGCCATGTCACTCAGCCAACGTTGGCCAGCCTGCCCTCCACCCACCGATCACCACTGGGAGGCCACGTGTTAGCTGAGGCTGCCCTGCCCTCACCCCAAATGCACCCACAGGAAGCAGAGGTCGGGCTCACCTCTCAACCACCACCTGCTCTTGGGCTCCTGATTTCCAGGTGGGGACACCCGTCCTGCCTATTCTGTCCTGCCACTGCAAGGACACAGACCTACAGGTGACCTCACAAATGGAGCAAAACACAATCTACCTCCTTTGCCAGATCTCCAACTTTGGACCCCAAATAAGGGTTCCTCTCTCAACAATGCTACTCACTTCATTTCCCAGGCGACTCTCAGAGAAAACACTTCTCACAGCCAGTCCTTCCATAACTCACCAAGACAGGGTGAGTAAAGAACACACTCGCTGTGGTACAGTGTGCTTCGGGCCAAGTCCACTCTCCAAGGTCAGAAGAAAGGGGTCACACAAAAGACCAGAAGGCAGAGCGCCTGGGTGGCTCAGTTACTGAGCGTCTGCCTTCGGCTCAGGTCATGATCCCAGGGTCCTGGGATCGGGCCCCGCATCAGGCTCCCTGCTCTCCCGGAAGCCTGCTTCTAACCCTCTCCCACTCCCCCTGTTTGTGTTCCTGCTCTCGCTATGTCTCTCTCTGTCAAATAAATAAATAAAAATCTTAAAAAAAAAAAAAAAAACAACCAGAAGGCATAGGGGCAAAGCAAGAACCGGGGAAGGAGGGTTTGACCCGGTAAGGCTCTCTTCGTGGATCCCACACGCAGGCTTCTTCCCCCATGGGCCGTGTGCCACCACCAAGAGCTTCACATGGCAATCAGAGGGGCCACCAGCAGCTTTGTACAGATGCTCCCAGAGAATAATCTCCTGGTGGGGCTAAGGCCAGATTCAGATTTTGGAGTGCCTAACTTCCTTTACAAAGCCCCAGATTCTAGGATGATGTTTTCTAAATAGTGAGGATATATGAATTTGATGAAACTATCAACTGCCTCATATTGTTTCTACCTGGAAAGAGTACACTAAGAGGAGGTTTTGTAGAATTATTCACCTCCTAAAGCTACCGTCTTTCTTCTATTTAGAGTTCTAAGGTTAAGAAAATGAGCCATGGTCCCACTCAACTAAGGGTCTGCACCCTCACTGCTTGGTGACTCAGCAACACAGTAGGGACCCAGCTGTCCTGCAATTCCTAGCCTGACTCCTGCTGGAGGCATACAGACCTCAGGACATGACAGGGCCACAGCCCTTCCAGGAGAATGACACCTCTCCTGTGGGGTCAGGGAAGAGGACCTAGAACTCTCTGGCCATTGTCATCACCGTCCCCACAACCGGACTTCACAAAGTCATCTCACCTACCCTGCCCCTAAAGTGTGCAGCACGCTTCCTGCCCTATAAGAAGGTAAATACATTTTTTCAAGTTGGCCCCTGAAAAACATGGGTTTGAACTGCACAGGTCCATTTGCACGTGCAAATTTTTTGAATAAATACAGTCCTATAAATGTGTTTTCCTTCCTTATGATTTTCTTATCTTTCCCTTCAGCTTACTTTATTAGAAGAAGCACGCGTTCATCAACTGTTTATGTTATCGGTAAGACTTCCACTCAACAGTACACTCCCAGCAATAAAGTCTTTGAGGAGTCAAAAGTTATACACGGATTATCCTATCCACTGCACAGGGGTCAGCGCCTCTAATCCCCATGTTGTTCAAGGGTCGACTGTACTCATAAACCTACCAGGAAACACTTCAGACACGAGAAAACGTAACCCCGAAGCCACCTAAGAGACAAGAGAGCACAGCTGAGGGCAGTTTCTAGGTGCAAATTCTCACCTTGATGGTGTGTTACACAGCACAAGGTCAAAAGTCAGAACAAACTGCCCCTGGCTTCGCCCCTGGTGCAGTAAGACCCAGGTCCACCTGGCAGGGCCTACCTCCGAGGGCTGTCGGAAGAGGTCAACAAGGCCACGATTGGGTTTGGCACACAGGGGCTTGCCAGAAATACCCGCCCAGGAATGGCGTTGAACTCCACGACTCCCTGCGCCCGTGGGGTTAAGTTCCACCACAGCCAGTGAGGGCAGCAGGAGAGTGTCAACTATGAGGCTAAACATCGTCCGTTCCGACATCATCACACGACAGTTAACTGCTGGCAAAGAACCCAGATAGCCTCTGAAAGTACTTTCCAGAGCAAACACCTGTGCAAATACTGAGGAAGAGGCCACCACTAGAGACCCTTAGCAACCCTTTCCCTGTCAGGAACACTGCAGTCAGAACTCTGTGTTAACTCTGCTGGCCCTACCAGCAGCCCTCAACATGCCTGGCCACACTCACCATCCCTACTTCTGCTGGTATGTTCCAGACCACAGGAAACGCTGGTGGTGTTCTGCGGCTCTCCTGCTCTACCTCTAGATTTAGGGAGCTGAGAGGAAATAATTTCTCTTTCTTCAAATGCAAGGACCCAAAGCACCTATGATTCCAACCGCTACTAAGGAAGGCAAAGAACTTCTGGTGGTAACTGGCACCTGTGCCAGGCCCTGAGCAAGCATGCCAGGTCCAGCATTCCATACCCGGCCAGGACTGTCATTCTTTACCCCATGTCTGCCATGAAGGAGACCTGAAAACTGTAAACTGCAATAGAAGTGAAAAAGTAGGGCCAATAAGGTCTCTGCAGGGCTGACGTGGACACCAAGAGTCTATACCGGGGGGCTGCAGAGAGGCCCAAAGCCAGGCTCGCCCCATGGGGGCCTTGCCACTGGCCTGGTGCACAGAACACCCCGGAAGGTGCCAGCCACTGTTATTCTGACTCAACACTCTTGTAAAGACAAACCCTCCCCGCGGTCCTGGGAGGCCTCACCTTAGCCTCAGGTTCTAACCACAAGACCCCTGGTTAGAATGAGGCTCCCAGGCAGATTACCGCATGCTCCCGTAGAAACAACAGCAGTATATAATCTCCTAAATTGACAAGGTGTAACACGAGCACTGCGAAAAAGAACGCGGAGCAAGAGTCTGAGGCTCTGCGCTCAGCAGCGTGCGCCCCTGGCAAGTCGCGCGGCCTCTCCCTCCCCCGATGTGTTCACGCGCAGAACAGGAAGGGCAATACCTACTCCGGAGGCCTGTTGTGAAGACTACGTGAGCTAATAGGAAACCATCCCGTGAACCGCTCGGGCTGCCGAAACGGAGACGAAGCCGCTGGCTGCAGTGACGACCAGGAACTGGAAACGAGTTGGCACAGGGTCATACTTCGCTCACACCGGGGAGGGAAACAGCGCGGGCTGGAGCGGGGGGATTCCACAGGACAAGGCGGGTGGGCCCCCCCGCGGCTGGGGACAGGCAGCGGCCACCCCAGAAACCCGCCTGCGGCCCGAAGGGCCTCCCGGCCCGGGCCCTCCGCGCCGCCCGCCCGCGCTCCCCGCCGCCCGCCCGGGGCCAGCGCGGCGCAGGCCTCGCCCCGAGGGGCAGGCCGCAGACAAAGCGCGCGGCGCTCGCGGACGGCCCTCGCGCCGGGGCGCGGTCGGGACCCCGGGGCCGCCGCGGGCCCCGCACGTACCCGAGAACCTTGCGTCCCTCCTGCCGCTCCCGGGCGCTCGCCGCGCCGCCCGAGCGCCAGCCTCAACTAGGCCTCCGCCGCTGCTGGCGCCGCCGCCGCCGCCGCCGCCGCCGCCGCGCGCTCCCCGACCCGGAAGTGCACGGAGCCGGCTTCCGGGGCCCTCCCGCCTCGCCCCGCCCGTTGGCGGGAACCACTGGGACCAGGGTGGGGAAGAAGAGCCTGAAGTGGCGGAAGTCGCCGCTCGTCGTGGCCGGGGCTTCGAGACTTCGCAGACACTGCTTAATGCTGGCCCACCGCCCAGGAATACTAGTGTCTGGAAGACCTTGTGGTGTCTAGGCCCCCGCCAGTAGGCTGTTCCGTGTCAGTCCTCCCCCGCCGGGAATTGGTACAGTCCGAGCCCCGGCCCTCCGACCAGGGCGAATGGAAGCGGCCGTCCGGCACACCTGAGCCCCCGCCCTCAGGCCTGGCCCCGCCCCATGCCCGTGGGCACGCCCCAACCCTGCTGCCCCGCCCCCACGCGGTGGCCCGGCCCTCCCCGGTGTTGGGCACGCCCCAAGCCCCCGGCGCGCTCGTCGCTCGCCTCGTGGCGCTCCGGGGACGAGCAGCTTCGCGCCCTACAGTCGCTCCTGGACCAAACACTGATGGAGTCTTGTGTGGGCACGCTCCTCCAGGTGCTGGGCACAGCGCGAGGAGACCCTAGCCCCGCGTCCCGTATGGTTCAGACACCGGAAACCACCAGCGCTGTCGGTCACCACACCGCGTGATGTGTGAAAAGCTGACTCGCGCTATGATGAAAGATAAAGCAGGGTAGGGTCCGGGGCTCAGGAGCCTGGGAGGACTGGCCAGTGTTAGGCGGTGAGGATGGACCTGGCAATGAGGTAGGGGCCAGAGGGGCCGCCGTGGGCAGAGCACCGAGAAACCGCCGCTGGACCTCGGAAAGGAGGCCAAGCAGGGGTGGCTGGGCCCAGTGCGGGATGTGGCCA